TCTCTCTCTCTCTCTCTCTCTCTCTCTCTCTCTCTCTCTCTCTCTCTCTTTCTCCTTCAGCCCTTCAGCAGCCGAAAGAGGTGCTCGTGACCGCAGGTAGTTGTCGCGAGAATCCCGTCGCAACGTTCTCGCGAATTTGACCTCCAGTCACTGTCGGCAGGCGCGCGCAATCCCGCATCATTTACATCCGAATGTTTTTCCTCGCGCGTGTCACCGTCACCCCGACTCAACAGTGTTCCCTTCGTCACGGCGTTGTGCGCGCGGAACAAACGTTGCCCACTCGACGAAAGGGACGAAAGACCCTTATGAATTTGGAGTAATACGCCGGGCAAATCCGAAAAGCCCCATCCTGCGCGTCATCCTGGATCGGATTCTGATCTTTGCGGAAGAATTAACGTGAGCTTGGAATATCCACGCTAATAATGCCACTTGACTGACCATGCACGTTTCTCAATCACGACTTTTACACGACTCTGCGACAGGCTGGCGCTCCTTACGGAGAAGTCACGTAGACTCCCATGCGGAAGTAGCTTCTGACTCGCCCTTTTTGATTAACTCCGAGATAATGATGGTAGATAGGGCTGCCTTGGCGTACAGGAATTTGGTACAGCTGCTTTGTTGGCTCCACAGCGAGACGGAATCTTGTCTGCCCGAAGACGCTAAGATCTCATCCTCGATCCCGCGACGGCCGAAACAGACTCATCGGGGAATATCGCGATCCGCGATCGATGCAAGTCTTCGTCACTGCTCCTCATGAAAACGCGACTTGTCGGCTGTGAGGAGTTTTATCGACCGGCGTGCGTGTCGGGGAAGTTTTTTTCTTTTTTCCGCGAAATCGCGCCTCTGCTCGCGTGCGTGTTAAACCCGCACGAGTCCTCGCATTCGAGTGCCGCTTAGAATCGGAGGATCTGCGCTCGTGTGGAGCTGCTCGTCGCTGCCGGCGGGAGTCCGATGCGCGCGAGCTTTAATGCGAATTTTTGCTGACACATTCACGCACCACTGCAGAGATATCTGTTGAATATTACATCGAGCGCAGCTTGTTCACGCTCGATTCGAGCCGGGCGCCTCTTTGAGCCACGGAGATATTCAATGCGTATTCGCGCGTTTCCAAAATCCCAAAAGGCTTTATCACGTTCGGAGAGCTCGGGTCCCTTTTCACTCGATTACCTCAGATACGCCGCGAATATAGTCCATTTTCGAGTCGGGATCAGCTCCCTTTCTATTTTTAATATCACTGCCACTGTGTGTGTGTGTGTGTGTGTGTGTGTGTGTTCCACTCTCGTTATACTTGTCACTGTTTCACACATGTATGTTATGCGCGCGCGTGTGTTGTATATGTGGGTGTGCGTGCGTGTGTGTGTGTGTGTGTGTGTGTGTGTGCAGGGAGAGATATTCGCACGAGAGCGCTTTAATCCGGATTTCACTGAACGTGTTTCATGACACTCTCACTTCAAGTATCATCTCACTGCCGCAGGATCCCAGCGTCGAATTTACTCGGAACTATTCGGGCATCTCGAGCACGATGCATTCTGCCGACGCGATCGTCGACCTGCCCGCGAATGTTTTCTAAAGTGTTCTCGGCAAATTTTCCGCGAAACGCACGACTTTCCTACCTCGCTGCGATCTTTGCACTTTTCGATCTCTCTTCTCAGGAACTCGAGAGTTTCCTCCACGTCGGCCAGGCTTCTTGATCACCCGCGATCCCCGCCGAAAATCGCCGCATTCCCGCGAGCACGTATCCCCGCCAGCAGGAGACTGGATTGCGCGAGGCTCGCGAGGCGCTCGGTAAACAAACGCGCGGCCGTTAGAGTCAACAGACGCGGAAACTGACGCGCGTCCGTGGCAAACCTGCTTTGCCGTTCGCGGGAGACTCCTCTCCTCGCGTAAGGTGCGTGATCTCACCAGCGATCGAAGGAGATTCGCGATTGGCCGCTCACTAGTAACCACAAATCACCCATGTTTCACCCCGCGTGTCCGGTTTGCTTTTCTCGCCGTTAAGACGCGGCCCTCGCGATCCTCCTCCAGAGCTTTTCCACCGACATCCCTCGATCACCGTCGTCCTGGGCTGCGGATCGCGCCGGCTGAACGACGCAGCACGACGACGCGGAGGTCTGAATCGGCGCGTTCCGCCGGCAATGGGACGGAATTTCGATTTTTTTTCCTCGGAAAGTGGTCTCACCTTAGCGGCGGGTGCGCGCGCGAAACCACCACGAGTGATGCTGAGGTCGGACTGGAGCCTCCGGCGCGGCGCTAGCGTCGCGACGAGTGAGGCGCAAACCAAAATCACCTCCCCCGCGCCGCGACGTCCACCCGTCAAGAGGGTGGCGGCAGTGGCGGAGGAGAAGCTAAGTCGCCCGGAGTTTAAGGCGCGTCGTGCGGCGAAGTTGGAGATTTCTCTCCGAGAGACTGAATTCTAATGCGACTGCCATTCGCTTCGAGAGATTAGCCCTGCTTATCGTCCACCGTGAACTGTTGCCAAAGCCAATGAGTCTCGAGCGCATCTCATGAGAACAGTCTTTAATCGGACGGACATTTGCGATCCTCTTGACGCGAGATTCCAATGCGCGAGTGGTATACCAAGATTAGACGTCCCGTTTTTCCCGAGACAGTCTCGGCTTTCTACTCTTTGTCTCAAATTTTTGCTGTCCGGAATTTGTCTACGTTTAGAGAACTTTTAAAATTCTTTTGATAAAATATTTAGAGATCTGGTATATACAACAGCCTTTTGCTTCTTCTTCTTAATTTTAACTAAGGATAGCAAAAGTTTTATCTTAGATAATTTTTATTTTTAGTTTGCAAGTTTTTATTGTTATTAAGTTATTTTTCATATCTATAAATAAAATATTGTTTCATATATACATGTATAAACAATTTTCAGTAATATCTCCCTTTCCTTGCTCCACATTTACAAAGTGTCCTAGATTTGAAACTGAAAAATCTGGTCTCCTCTTAGGTATACACATTCTTTAGAAATTTAATATTTAATTTAATTTTCGAGCAGTTACTGGATGTTGATTTTTATCTAGTGATTAAAAAGTAAAACTACTTGAGTTTCTAATCAAAATGTAACGCTTTTCCTGTCCACAAAAGATGCGCAAAATCTGAACCTTTGAAAATAGAAAATAGATTAAAAAAAATAAATAACAAATTATTTAATTAATCAAGTCTGCTTTAAAATTTGCATAAAATGCAAATGAGGTGTGCTCTAGTAGTGTCTCATTTTTCGTGCATGTTTTCTAATTAACAAATTTTCATGCTAATGAGAGTTATAGTGCCTAACAGGATATTGTTAGAGCATTATATATATATATATATATATAAATTTTTTTTTTTCCATATTTTACGTGACATTGTTCATAATCATCAAATAATATGAGTCTTTTTATTCATTTTTGTATTTGTACAATGAGTTATAAAAAAGTTCAAAATAATGAGTTGGGAACTCACACATCAAACTCTATCAAAATTAAAAGTCATTTTTGACGGGTTTGTTTTGTAATTATATTATTAATTATATTACTACTGTTAATTTATTATCAATATTATTATAATTTATTATTATTTAGTGTTCTTAATTATATTATTATTGCGTATGTAAATGTAAATATATATGTTTTAAATTTATTCGCAATATAGATATTATAATACGTACACATTGTAAAGCTGAATTAATATTAACACAGAGTGAACCGTTTCAGAATAAAACTTTGCCAAGTTCTCGTTTAATTTCTGCGTAGCATTTCTGCTACTAGTGAGAAAGCGTCGATACTAGACAACAATTGAGCGAATCTCTATGCAAACTTTTCCACCAGGATGCGCGCACAAAGACAATATTGTGGTCGAACATAAAGCTAGAAGAAAGATCTTTAAAGATGTCTCAAATACTCATGACATCGTTAATGATCACGAAAACTTTCGAGGGGTCGAGTTTTTTGTCGCATACGATCGCGAGTCTCGATTACTAGCAGGAAAAGCTCCCATCGTCCATGTTATCGGGTGTTTACGACGATAATAGTTTTGATGGTGACATTTGTATCGACATTAATGGCTCGACTCGGCGTCCCTCAATTATGCGTATATTGGATATAATGTGCGCAACACGCGCAGCACTCACCGTGGATAGTGCCGTACACTCCTGATCCACCTCCGTTTGTTACACATCGCGGTGTAACGTGTCAGAAGTGTCTATTGATCTCAGCGATGTCGAATGCATAGAACGGTCTAATGCGTTAGCCGTATCGAATGGTCGTTGCGCGGGCAATAGATCATCCGGCTGGAGGCTGAGATTTCGGAAATTACCTATCCGATATCGCGGCGGCGCAATTTGCAAAAACGACGGCGGACGTTGACTGATGCGCGGATGACTGGAAAACTCGATTTTACTCGAAAAAAAATTCAAAATAAAAAAAAAGAATGACACGCCGCCGCACAGAACTTCCGCATTTCGCGGCAGGCGAGTTTTCGAATTGCGCGGAACAAGCGAAGTATTCAATCGACCGTCACCTCGGCACAGCAGACAGCAGGGTACCTGTTTGCCCGTAAAGAGAAGCTAAAAAAAAGGAAATAGCACGCTCGCTCTCCGTCGTCTTGGCCGTACGTCAGTGTTCAGTGCGGAAGATAGTGGTATCCGTTTCTTCCGCGAAATGGCACGCGCTTGTCGTGAAACCCCCCGGTTTTTTTTCCATCTCTCCGGGAAAATACGCCGCGTTTCTCTCCCGTTGCG